AGAGAGAGAGAGAGAGAGAGAGAGAGAGAGAAAGAGGGATAGAGAGAGAGGGGAATGGAGAGATAGAGAAATAGAGAGAGAAAGAGAGAGAAAAAGTGAGAAAGAGAGAGACGGGCTGATAGAGACGCAGAAAGAAAAGAGAGAGAGAGAGAGGGAACACACAGACAGTCAGATCGATAGACATATAGACAGATACACAGACAGACATAGAGAGAGTATATAGTCGAATTCGTCAATGATTCACACTAGAATCCCTAAACTGCACAACGTGTTCCTTCAAATAGTTTTGAAATTGTAAAATGAAAGTATGCCAATTACTTACTTCCCGGAAAACCGAGAGATTTCCTGGACTCCGAGTGTTCTTGGGTCTGTTGAGTAGTAAGTAATACAGATTGCAAAGCGCATCGAGTTTGTTTTTTGATATGGAATGGCACCACACAGAAACTTCTTTCTTCTTCAGGTGTCAGGTCTGGGGCACACAGTGACGATCGTGATACTCCATTTCTTCCCGTTGTCTGTCTTCCTGATCAGCTCGGTTTTTGTCTTTGTGTTATTCGTTGTAAAGTTGTTCGGGCCATCTGTGTATGTTGCTCTTTGTCTTCATCTGCTCTTCTTTCCCTGTACATTATTATTCAACACAGCAGCAATTTCTCTAGTCCATTTGACCTATTTGTGAGGCCAAAGAATCTCAGTTGTCTTTTTCTGATGGGTCTGATCTTACAGAAACAGATGCTATTTATTCTCATTATCATAACAAGGAGATTTGATATCATGATTGTGTGACAGAATCCTTCTCCTGGCCGATCGGTCAGCTATTCGTATCCCGCAGGACTACGGCATGAGAGACTCCCGTTCGAAATAATAAATGGTCGTTGTAAAATTTTAGATCGTTTCATTTATTTATTTATTTATTCATTTATTTATTCATTTATTCATTCATTTATTCATTCATTTATTCATTCATTTATCTACTCGCTTTCTCTTTTTTTGGAGGGGGTGCAAGGGGGGGGGGTTCCTTGGCTCCGATCTATATGATGTAGACTTTGCAAAGTAGATCTAGGTGTTAACAAATGAAACGTTCTGTTTCTTTTTTTTTTTAAGGAAAAAAAAAAAACACGAAAAAAAACAACGAAATAACGCAGCAGAATGTACGTTGTCAGTTGTTTTTTTTGTTGCTTTTTGGGGGGTTTTGTTTTCGTATTTTTTCCCGCACATGATAATAATTCCTTTCAGTGTGTGTGTCACGTATCTCCATTGTCCAGAGAAAAATCATGAAAACAAATTATTTTTTCAAACTGCAGTGCAATTCTCTTAAACCAAAATATGTGAGATAGCCGAATTTTCTTTTTGAATTTAGCTGGGTTTTCGGTTTAGAGAGGGTTGCTAAAAAAAAAGAAAAAGAAAAAAAAAAAGAAACGCAAATTGGGATTTTTTCCCGGTTTACCGCTGTTTTCGGATTAACAGAGTTCGGTTTAAGTAAGTGGACTCCACCGCAGTTTGCCAAACTGCGACTAGATGTATATCTACAAAACCGTACACAGTTCAAGTATAACGCAGCGGGCGGTTGGAGGACATCACTGGTATGTCCTACCTCTTTCTTTTCCCTCTGTTGTTTCTGTCTGTCTGAATTACTTTTTCGCAGCACTGAATGAAGATTACTGTGTTGATGTGATTCTTTTTACTCAAACAAACAAACAAACAAACAGTATAACAATGAGACAATGACAAAGATGGTAAAATGTGCATTTCACTCTCGTGCCGTGCCAAATATGCGACTAAAAATATATATTATCGATTGTTAGTCATGTGAAATTGTTAGTCTCTCTGATCCTACTGCAAAAACTGTAGTTTTAAAGTTTGGTTTGAGTATAGAGAAGCACACAAACATGATGATGGCCATTCAGAGCGGAGGTTTGGTTGTTGGGTTTTTTTTAGGGGGGTGG